GAGAGGAGAGGAGAGGAGAGGAGAGGAGAGGAGAGGAAAGGAAAGGAGAGGAGAGGAAACATCAATAAGGAAACTCTTCTTCCCCTAGCTTATAGAGAAGTGTGGAGACAGTGGGCTTCCCCTGAGGACTTTACCTGGTTTCGCCAAGCTGGACCACACTCTGCCCGAAGCCTCTTGCATTCTCTTGAAAGGTCATAGGATTTTCAGTGTCCAGATTGAAGCCATGACACAAGGCTAGGACTGGAAGGATAACAGAGAATTAAGAGTCAAAGCAAAGGAAACAATATGGTTAAGAGAACAACACACATTTCTACCCGTGGCCATTCCTGTCCACATTCACCAAAGCTCTGACAGCCCCGGGGCAGGGGTCCACATAGTGTGGGATCTGTCTGTCATGTTTTTGAGACAGGATTGTATATATCCCAGCCTGGCCTGGAACACTACAGTGTAACTATGGATAACCTAGACCTCCTGATCTTCCTGGCTCTCATTCTACTTCCCAAATGCTGAGGGTACAGGGGTGGGCCACCACACCACAGTCCATTCGCTTTTTCTAAGAAGACCAGCTGGTTAAGCAGCACTGGGGAGGCAGAGGCAAAAGTCGAAACAGTGAGTTCTAGACCAGCTGGACTGCATAGTAAGACCATAGAGGAAAGGGTGTTGTTGTTCATGTTGTTGTTCTTGTTGTTGTTTCCAGACAAGGTTTCTTTGTGTAGCTCTGGCTCTCCTGGAACTATCTCTGTAGACCAGGCTGCCCTCAAACTCCTAAAGATCCACCTGCCTCTGCCTCCCCAGTGCTTGGATAAAAGGTGTGCACCATCATACCCAGCTTGAAGAAAATTTTTTCAAGACAGTGTCTCACACATCCTAGGCTCATTATGAACTCCTTGTGTAACTAAAGATCATCTTAACCTCCTGATTCTCCTGCCTCCGCACCCCAGCCCCAGTGCAGGGACTACAGGTGTGCACTACCATGTTCAGTTTATCTGGTTCAAGGGATCAAATTGAGAGCTTTGTATGCACTAGGCAAACCCCAGGCCTCACCTCTATCTTCCAAGTTTTCATCAAGGAATTTCAAGCTGTAGCCAATTATCACAATTTTTGTGGTACAGGTTCACCCATGAGATGAATGAGATTCTTAAGGAATGACATTTCACTTAACTGGGAGTAAAGTTAATATCCTCTATCGTTGATGGATGATAGATGTTTGCCTTTTAAGACCAGTAGCAACCACATTTAACCCACAGGCCGAATGTGCTGACTCAGGCTCAAGGGCCTCTAAGTGCCTATGATGGGGCATGGCCAGTCCCTCTCTAAGCCCACAATGGCCTCTTCCCCCACTGTCACAACCACAATGGTTTACACAACAAAGGCCTCAGTTAGAAATTTCCCTTCCTATGCAAGTTTCAAGTAGTTCCTTCCCTTCTTGACTCACTCTCTACAAAAATAGACATAAAAGGAGACACATCAGTTTTTTGATTCTCAATAATTCAACAAACATCCACACTAGGTTCTTGATAATTAGAACATAAGGCTAAGTAGAAGTGGTATGCAGAACACGGGAGGAAATGAACCGCTGTGCTCCCTGCTGCTGCTCCTTTACCTCTCTGGACCTCGCAGCCTCAGTAACCTCGCCTATGACAACAGCCTCTCAGCGTCGATGGATTTAGTCCTTCATCCATGCACCCCTAACCATTCCTCTCGCCTACCTCTGCTCTTTTTTCTCTCAGAATCCTTTAGCCTTCCCTAAAGCCCTTTGCCTCTCCCCACCTAGCTCCTCCCTGTTCCCTGACCCTTCTCTGCACTCACAGATCCAGAAAACCCCCCTCCTCTCTTGACGCCCCCTTCTGACTTCCATTGGCCCTGCACACATCTGGTGCATAGACCTGCATCCAGGTAAAACACACACACACATAAGATTTTCTATTTAAAAGAAATAGACAAGAGTTGGTCCAGCAAGGTGGCTCAGTTGGTAAAGGTATTTAGCATTAAGTACTGACAGCCTGAGTTCAATCCTCAGTATCCACGTTCCCTAAAGCCCTTTGCCTCTCCCCACCTACTCCTCCCTATGGCCTTCCTCTCCACTCATAGACCCAAAAGATCCCCTCCTTCCCATTCTGAGGGCCTCCTAACCCCTTCTCCCCACCCTGAGGATTCCCTCCCCAAGACCCCAACATACCTGTTACCAGAAGAACTTTAAGAGTCATGACTGAAAGGAACAAAACCCTGGAGATATGTGGACTGTGGTACATCAAGAACCACAGACACTTTGAGGAAGCCACCAAGGCTGGGAGAAGCAAAAATAGAGAAGGAAGAGGCAAGAGCTATGGGCCATTCAAAGAAAGAGGGCGGAGGCTCTACAAGCACCCAGCCCTGTGTAGCCTTCCTCTGGGACATCATAGCCTGCTCTTCCTTGCCACCTTGTTTCCTGGCCCAAACCATCAAGGTTACCACCCAAAGGTGCCATTTGAAACTCATTTACCCCTGGGATAAGTCAAATATTATGGGGAAAAAAAAGATGGGTAATAGGCTCAGTGTTTAGGACCAAACTGGTCTCCCAGGGGACCCACGTCTTGTTCTGGGTACCCACATGGAGGCTCAAAACCGTCTATAACTCCAGTCCCAGGGGATCTGATGTTCCCTTTGGCACTCATACACATGGTGCACACACGTGCATGCAGGGAAAACACCTACATACATATGATATAACAAATCTCTTTCTTATTTAAAAAAAAATAGCCAAGAGTTGTTTCAGCCAGGTGACTCAGCTGGTAAAGGTGCTCGCCACTAAGCACCGACCGCCTGAGTTCAATCCCCAGTATCCATGTGGTTGAAGAAAAGAACCAACTCCTTCAAGCTGTCCTCTGACATGGTACACAGCCACACACACCCAAAGAGTAAAGAAATCATCAGCTGCTAACCACGGTCACATCCAAGACATAGTTTGGTCTTCTGTATATTTTATGAAAGTATCTTGAAAACAGAGCTTGACATTTTTATACACAAGGAACTGAAGGATGTATGGTGACATATTTAACCATTCCTGCCCTGTGGGATGCGGAGTCTATTTTAGGTTCTTGTTCTTAAAAACAATGGTTTCTCGTACCTACCTGGCAGGGAGACACCATGATCAGGAATGTAGTTTTCCCAGGTAAGGCTCAACCATTGCATTTGGGGTGTGCTAACCCCTGTGATTTTCCCAAAGCCAAGACACTTGACTGCATGATTTATGGTATGGGGGACCGTGTTCACATTATCCCCTGGCCAAGAAAAAAAAAAGCGGTTTCTTTACTCTTTGGGGTTCTTTAATTCTTTTGTCTTGTTTACATCTGTTTATTTATTTGGTGTGTGTGTGTGTGTGTGTGTGTGTGTGTGTGTGTGTGTGTGTGTGAATGCTTGTGTGGTTCAACTGTGTAAGTATGAAGGTCAGAGTACAGTTTGCTGGGGTCAGTTTTCTTCTTCCACCATGTGGGTCTCAGGGATCAAATTCAGGTCATCAGGCTTAGTGACAAGTACCTTTACTACCTTATAGACTTTGTTCTCTTTTCTTGAAACACATTATCAATGAGTCGTCCAAGCTGATCTTGACCTCACTGATTCAGGCGATCCACCTGCCTCAGCCTCCCCACTAAGCAGTCAGATTCTGACTGATGCTGGAGCTAGCCAACCGATCTCAGGCCGGCCTTCCAAGGTGGGTCATTCACACAGCTGAACATCAGTGCTGGCTGTAGACTAGACTAAGGGTACAGCTGTGAACTGCAGCACCTCTGCATGTGGCCTGGGCTTCTCCGAGAACAATGCTGGATTTCAGAGGCAAGACATCCACCAGATTCTACTCACCAAGTCGCTACAGAAATTCTCCCTGCTCAAGGTGAACAACACAGCCCGCTTTTCAATTCTGTACCCAAAGATCTGTGACCACTCTTCATCTGCCATAGCAAGAGATTTTCTTATGCCTCTACATAGGCAAACTACTAGGGTTATGGGCCAAGAGTGGCCACCAGCACTTGGAAGTCAGAGGTAGGTTGATCTTTAGGAGTTCAAAACCAGCCTGGTCTACATAGAAGATTCCAGGTCAATCAGGGCTACATAGTGAAATCCTATCTCAAAAAAATTAAAAATTAAAATTATTGAATTTTTTGCAGGTGGATGATTGCAACAGCCTATATTGGCCTCAAACTCATAATCCTCCTGCTTCACCCTTCCAAGTGCTAGGATTATAGCTATGGTCATCAAGCCTGGCTTGCACTTACGCACTTATAGTTTTTAGACAGACAAACAGACAGAGAGAGAGAGAGAGAGAGAGAGAGAGAGAGAGAGAGAGAGAGACTTTATAATCAGAAAAATAAACTGTAGCTGACTTAAACTGGGAAAAGTAGCTCTATTATGAGCTAAGGGCTGAGGAAGAGGAACAAGCCCAGGACCCAAGTGAGAGGCTACCTAGAGAATGTGAAGGCGTGTCTCTGTCAGACTCTGCAGTCCTTCCTCATGTACAAACACCATCAGAAACAGCCTGGAGAGGAAATATTTGTTTATTCAATGTTTCAGAGGTTCCAAAGTTCACTGTTACTTGGCTCAATGTTTCTGGATCCTGTAAGGTTAAACATCATGGCAGCTGGAGTGTGTGTTAGAGAACAGTATTCACTTCACAACAAATAGCAGTGAGGAAGGGACTAGAGACCAAATACAAGCTTCAAAGACCCACCCCAGCATAATAGTGAACCCTGACTGTCCAACTTGAGGCAGTCAACTAAGAGACATGACTCTAGGTGGATCTCTGAGGGAATTTCCAGAAAAGACTGCTCCCTCAGGGTGGGCAGCCCTTCCAATGGGTGTCCCAGACATAAAGGGCTGGAGGGGAGACAGCGTTGCTTGCCCACCTGCCTTCACATTGTACCAGTGGATGTGCCTGTATCTGCTGCTGCTGCTGTGCTTCACTGGCATCAGACTCCAGCTTCTTTGATCCTCCAACATGGACTGAGGACCATAAATTCTCCATCAGCCTTCCAGGTCTTCAACTTCAGATTGGAACTGCTGAGTCATCCAGGCTCATGGACTGAGAAGCTACCAGGTTCCTGACCTCACAGACGTTGTTGGACTACCCAAGCCCTATAATGAAAGCCATCCTAGTGAATCCCCTTTTAGCTCACACACACACACACACACACACACACACACACACACATTCTATTAGTTCTGTTCCTCTAGATAGTCCTGTCTAACATGAAGGAGTGCCAAACAGGCCCATTTCCTAGTTTCCAGACCCTCCCAAAATAGGCCACAAAGTAGGAACCAACCATTCAACACATGAACTGGTGGCTGAGGGAAGGGATGGACCATTACATATCTAAGCCATATCAGATAGTATTTTAATAGATAAAATGGTTTTATTTTGATAAAATCCTTTACATTCTGACCACCACAAGGGGCTATTCTAACACAGCATCAAAGCCTCTTCTTGTGTAAGCAGAGGCTAAGGGCCTGCTGACTGCAAAGATCTAGGTCAAGTCTCAGAACAGCTCTTCAATCCAGGGTTTTCCTCAATGGTCACTGTTCTAGTGGTGTTTCTGTGGCTATGACAAAACACCGTGACCAAAAGTGACTCTAAATTCCAGGTGGCTGTCCATCATTTCAGGGAAGCCAAGGCAGGAACTCCAGCAGCTGTCACATCACCTCCAATCAAGAGCAGAGAGACGAAGGTGCCAGGCTACCTGCTTGCTGGATTCTTCACACTTAGACAGTTCAGCACCCTGCTGGGGAAAAAAATTGGTGCTGCTCACAAAGGGCTGGTTCCACATCAGTTAGCAATTGAGATACTCACCACACACTTACCCATGGGCCAACCTGATAAAACACTCCCTCAGCTGAGGCTTTCTGAGCAGGGGACTCTAGCTTGTGGCAAGTTGATGTTTAAAACCCACCATCACAGAGGCTGGGGAGATAGCTCAGCAGTTAAGAACATTTCTTGCTCTTGCAGAGGACCTGGGTTCAATTGCCAGCATTCACAATCATCTGTAATCCCAGTTCCAGAGGATTCAAACACCGATTCTGACTTCTGGGAGCACCAGGCATTAACACCCATACACATTAAAACAAACAAACAAACAAACAACAACAAAGAAAAAACACAGCTACCATTTCCCCAAACCTAACAACCATGGATAGGTTGCTGGCCCAACTTCCCCTTTCTTCTTTTCTTTCCCATGGCTGGGAATCTAACAAGTACCATGTTTGGAAGGTGATCTGGAAATTGGGGACATGAGTAAGAAAAAAAACCCCTCAGTTAGTCCTGCAGGAAGCTGGAATTTGGTACACTAGGACACTCTGGGGGATCTTGGTTGCCTGGTAAAGAGTAAAGGAATCTAGACACTTATTCTTAACTCACATTAGCTATTGATTGAAGAATTATCTGTGGGAAATCCTCCACTCAGGCCTATCCTGCCCTTCAGCCAAGTAAAGCAGGCTCCAGTAGTTGCAGAGTGTCCTCAGGTAAGTGGCTAATGGTTCTCTTGCAAGGCCACCTTGCATGAGAATGTCACATGCTGCAGGGACATGGATGGGCGTCTGCTAGAAGTATTGCCAGACAAGAGCCTTCCCTCGCTGAGCCATCAAGCTGGCCTCTTTTTTCCTTTCTGTAATCAAACATTTAAGGACTATGACATTCAAAAAAAAACTGCATTAGGGACTGGAGTGATGGCTCAGTGGTTAGGAACACTTACTGCTCTTGCAGAGGACCCAGGCTCAGTTCCCAGCACCCACATGATGGCTCACAACTATCTGAAACCCCAATTCCAGAAGACCCATGCCCTCTTCTGACCTCTGTATCCTAGTCATAAAATAAAATCAATAAATTTCTTAATATTTTTCAAGAAACAACATTAAACAAAGCCAAAAACACCAGCAAAGCCAGAGAAGCTGAAGAACCTGATTTCCACAATTATTTTATCATCAGATGCCAATGATCAGTTTTAACAGCAAAAAGCACAAAGCATACAAATAAAAAGGAAAATATGCCCATCCCAAGGGAATGAAACAACAGCAGAAACCATGCAAGACAAACCCAAGCCAATCTTCACAGCAGAGTTAAAATATGCTTTACGTTCTCTTCTGCGTGGGACCCAGCTGTCGCTTCCATGCCAACAGCAGTGGCCACCTGCGTAAGACTTGTACAACTCTGAGGCCAACAACTGGCCATCACTGATGGGAGAAGGATCCCTGAGGAGCTAGAGTAGCCATCCTCAACCTGTGGGTCATAACCCCTGTTAGGGATCAAATGACTCTCACAGAGGTCCCCTAAGACCATCAGAGAACATAGATACTTATATTACGATCCATAACAGTAGCAACAAAAACAGTTTTATGAGGCAGGTCCCATCAGCCTGCTGAAGCCAGGGCTGATCAATTCAGGCCCAGATCCAGTGCTTTGAGTTGGTCCACCCCAAAACTAACTCCATCTATGAGCTGCTGGATCATGTGACAAACCTGGTCCTACAGAACCAGAGCAAGGATCACCATGACTCTGGGCAATGGTGGAGTTCAGGAATCGCCACTCAAGTCAAAGAAACACTGATCTCAGTTAAGCAAGACTAGTTTATTGAATGCACACCTTAATACCAGACATCCAGGACCACACAAAAAAGACTCAGGTACCTAATTGCAGTACTAGTCTGCTTTCAGGGTAGACTTTTTATAAAGAAAAAAAAAAAAACAGGTTCAAAACCTAAAAACCAGGTTTAAAGGGCAAGGAGGGAAACAGTTGGCTTTACTAGTCAAAGTATTATCAGCTAACCTTTAAGCTGGTTTCAAAACATTGCGATAATGGAGCATATGTATTATAATCAGAATGTTTTGGCTTATTAGTAGCATTCTTCAGTGTCAGCCACAAAAACCATAGTGAGCTCATATGTAGCTGCAGGAAGGGCTGCCTGGTGGTCAGCTCTGACTCAAGATATTTTAGACATAACAGTTCATATTGACCTTTGGTTTGATGGGTTCTACGTAAAGCTTTGTGGAATTTCTTAAGATTAGCAAACCTCATACAGAACATTGAGAACACACAGAACAGAACAGGGAATGTGGTCAGCGTGTCCTTGAGCCAAGTCACTTCTCTGTGTCAGTGACTGGCAGGCCTGTCACAGCTACACTATGAAATAGCTGGCAGGCATGAAGCAAAATGGCTACAGCTATTCCAGGAGTGGGAGGAGGGGGTCAGACTATAGCAGTCAACAGCAGGATACCTGAGGGGAGTCTCAATGATGGCCCA